ACACGCTTGCATAATACTTCCTCGCGTTAATCGCTTATAACTTTAATTATCTTAATTTATTATACTGAAAGATTTTCAAAGTTGGTGAACAAGGGATAAAAAAAAAAAAAAAAAAAAAAAAAAAAATTTGCCCAGGAGGGGGAAAAAAAAAAAAAAAAAAAAAAAAAAAAAAAAAAAAAAAAAAAAAAAAAAAGGTGTTAACACCTCATAAGATTAATTAAAAGCTTTTCTCCAACACAAGCGTGAAAAAAAAAAAAAAATTTGCCCCCCAAAAGGTGTTTTATTATCACCTAGAACGAAATGCTAGCTCCCTCCGAATTTCCTTTACTTACAAACATATCTTTCTTCATCGTTTTGACCTGCAACGAACTGGATCCCAGTGGCAAAACGCTCACTGCATCGACTCCCTCTAAGCCGAAAGGCACACCGACGCTAAGGGGTACAACCTGCCATATTGTAATAGGTTGGACAAAAAGGGGGAGAATGAAAGGTGTAAATATGCTGTCTATTTGTGAAGAAGTATGTGAATACACATAGCCGCTCTGCCTTAATGCCCTCACGTAGAATGAATCCCCCAAATGACAACACATATGTGTTGCTTTACTTCTCAAGGCTTACATTGTTCCCTTTTAAAAAATAAACATTCACTTTTATAGGAAAAGTGTTATTAAAGTGGGCCAGCAAAGTCACCTCTCCCTTGATGTCCTTCGCCTCTTTGATGAACTGGCAAAGCCCAGAATAAAACAGCTTCTTGTCAGACTGCAAAGGAAAAAGCGAAAAAATGGGACATAAAAAAAAAAAAGCATATAAAAAAAGGAAGTAGAGGGGACAACGAAAAAAGAGTTCATTAAAAACGCGCACAAATGAGGAATTAACAAAAAGGGCAAGGATTCTAAAAAAATAAAGTAGCAGCTTTCCCTAAGTTTCGTTGTCTTTCCATTTGCTCCACGCTTAAGTTATTACTTGTAAATTCCTGATCAGCTCTGACTTCCCGCTGTTGCTAGTGAATTTAAACTCAGCCACGGTTTTTGTTGGTCTTATAAACATAAGGGCGTTGTCCACTTTCTCCTTTCTCCACACAATGAATAGCGATCCATTGGACGCATTGTCAAAAGTTAAATATGCTCCTTTGTCATCTGCCATCATGCACAATGTTAGGGAAAATGTTTCTTACGTTATGTTGACTATTTGTTATGTTCGTTTGTTTCTTCGTTTGCTCGCTCGTTCGATTTTCTCTCTAATGAATTCATAAAACTACAAGGCAATTTATCACTTTATGCCTTCGTCTACTCTTTTTAATTGTACACACATATGTAAACATGTAAAACTGGGTTCCTTTTTTTTTTTTTTTTTTCTGTTTTCCTCGCAAGCACTTATACAAAATGTGTATTAACGATAGACTAAAAGGCAAATGTACGCGTAGTTACCAAAAGTGAATTTTCAGATTGCGTGAAGAAAAAAAAAAAATATATATATTAAATTAGACAGCAATCCGTAAACTTGTTCATACAGTAAACTGATAATACAGGTAAAAATGTACACAGCTAAAATAAAGTTCACACATACAGTGCACACCTGCCTGAGCAGAAATGGGAAAGATTAAATCTGGGGGTATGAACATAAGACAACAAAGAAATTTCCTAAATTTTAAATGCCACAAAAAGAGGTGTAAATGTTGTAAATTTTCTATTCATCTATTTTTTCATGAGCTCTTAAACACTTTTAATGATATATAAACAAAATTGCACTTGAGTATTTACATCATTTGTGCAGAGTATTTTTTCTGAATTTACAAATTCAGCCTCTTACGCTGCTTGGCGTACTGCAAACACTCAGATGTATGCACGTGGATGACACATGGACACATATAACTACTAGTATGCAAAAACAAGAAAACATGAAATTATATACACATTTGTGCATACCGATATCCAGGCTCATTTAAGTGCCTGCTTCTATTTCTAAGCCTTTTTCACTCAAAGGCATGAACAACTGCACACATAATTTTGCATTTACATCATCCTTTTTTTTCTTTTTTTTTCTTTTTTGCTTGCTCTTCTTTACATATAAAAATGTGTTTTATGTAAAGCGTTTTATACCATGTTTTGTAGAGAAGGAATCTGAACACAATAAAAAAAAAGAAAAATTTTTTTTAAATTTGGTCACAATTGTACAATTTCTTTTTTTTTTTTTTTTTTTTGCACCTATTATTATTATTACTGTGAGAGTAGCAAAAATGCGTACGTATATATGCATATATATAACCCCATAGGATTATGTGCAGCCTGCTTACGAAATTTTCTTTTTCTTTTTCAATTTTGTCAATTTGTACCTTTCACCTGGTTCATCACATTCCTACAGCAGATTGCCATTTTGCTGGTTCGCTAAAGGGGGGAAGGGGCAAATATGAAGGTAACAATACGTGTAAATGTGTGTATATGCATGTCGTCTGTATGCATATATATATTTACACAAATAGGGAAAAAAAAAAAAAAAAAATTCCAAAGTGCTATTTTCTACATTCCTTTTCTTTCAGTTTTCTATACTTTTTTAAAAAACGATGATAACAAGAAAATTAGGGGTACTTTATGTATTAAACACACAAACAGCTGTGTTTAATTCCAAAATAGCACACAACACAAAAAGAATAAAAAAAACAAAAAAGAGGAAAACGTAATTCTATTTAAACAGATCATTTCCGTCGTAAATAAAAATAAAGTCAAACATTCTGCAGCTACGCATATTTATTTGTTTTCATTTTGGTAATTATTTTTATACCAGCAAATGCAACATTACAGTGGTGCAAACGGAAATTCAAAAATGGACACGAAAAAATGGTGTGCAAAAGGGACACCATTCTGTATGCGGACGGCGGACGGGCAAACGAGCGTGCGTGGATAAATAAATGCGTAAATATCTGTACATATACAATATGGCTAACTTTTTCTTTTTTCTTTGTTTTTTTTTTTTTTCCTTTGCAAAATAGTCAGCATTATGTGCAAATATAATTTTACACATGAACTGTTCCAGCAAAGCGTTGTCGCATTTTTTGGCCTCCTGATGAATGCAAAAATGAACGATAAAAATAAGGCTAAAAAGAAAAAAAAAAAGCGCATCAAACTGCGCATGCTTGATCCGCTTCCTCTCAAAATTGCGCATATGTATATACTTCCCTCTTTATAACTGCACGAATAAGCTACCTTTGCCACCCCTGGTGATGTTGCCTGTGCTACGATGCTATAATAATTTCACCCCACTTGTCTGCATACGCTCGCCCTAAACAGTTACACGCTTGCATAATACTTCCTCGCGTTAATCGCTTATAACTTTAATTATCTTAATTTATTATACTGAAAGATTTTCAAAGTTGGTGAACAAGGGATAAAAAAAAAAAAAAACTTTTAAAATGAACTCTTATATGTGTAGAATAAGGAAATATGTAAAAAAATTGTCCTAAAAAAATTATCAGTATAGTAATGAATTTATAATAAAACAACATACTTTTTTACATATACAATTAAAAAAAAAAAAGTTCATGAATTGACTTAAAAATAGAAAGAGGGGGAAACGGGGGTTTCTTCTTAAACACACATACGTAAACACATGCATATACATATCTATCGATGCACATGTGCAAGTATATTATATACTTATAATACACCTGTTTCCCCCTTTTACAATTTAATTTTATGTTCTGGCAAAAGTTTTTTAAAAAAAATATTTACAACAGATTCATAAAGGGTGATTTAAAAACATTAAAAGACTTTAAACAATGTATATACTTTTTTATGCTGTGTTTTTCTCATTTTTCGCTGTTTGTTTTTCATTTTTGATTTTTCGATTTTTTGTGGTCATATCGAATGTGTGCCGCGTGAGCCCCTACTGCGACGGTGTTCTTCTCTTAAATTACTCATACTATCTCGCGCGCTTAAATGGAAAACTTCGCAGCACCTTGGCACTGTGTGTGTGCATAAAAAGCATGTACTTTTGTGAGATGGTAAGCTGACACTTTGATACGTCCGTACACTGGCATATACCTATGCGCGCCGAAAAAAAAAAAAAAAAAGGGACGCCCTTAGGGGACCCACCAAAATGGCTTCGCCCCGCTATCCCAAGCAGCGCAAGTCTATATATATGTTATGCACGAACCACGCGTTAGTCAACCTTCTGGCTGGCGGCTCCAGAGAAAAAGGAAGACCACTCTAACGCTTCAATAATGAACAGCTGCTTCCTTAACGATATGTTATGAGGAAGTGTGTGGTAAATGATAAATTTGTGGAAAAGGGATATGTAGGGCTGAAGCTGCGAAATATTCTTCACGGATGTAATAAATTTGAAGTGCTTATCCAACAAGGTGTTATAATTCTCAAATTTCTGTTTGTCAATTAGTTTCAGCTTAATCTCTGGTAGGGACTTGTGCTTTATGTTGCTTAAAATCATTTCGATGGCTTCCTGCGTTATTTTTAAATACTGCTCGTTGGATATTTTGACATCCGAGTTGGCACCACCAGCATTCATATTTTCTCCATTGCTATTCACTAACGAGTACTCATTGCTATCCTTCACATTAATTTTCTCCATGTTTCTCTTTACCTTAGTGTTGCCGCCAACGTTATTTCCCATATCCATTTTTTCTATTGCATTTTTATCAATATTGAACAGGGCATCCAGTTCTTCCTTTTCTTCATTACTCATTCCTAGTCTATCTTTGAGCAAAAACTCATAATCGTCATGCACATTTACCTTTTCGAAAACTTTCCTGCAGTAAATGGCTTGATCTCTAGCTCCGTAAAAACCCAAATCATCAATGGAAAACTTCTTATGCACAACAAAGGTACTAACCCAACTTTGTGACAACTCATCATACGCAACCCCTTCGCACCTTGGTAACTTCGCTGCCTTCTTAATGTGAGATGTTCCATTCACTTTGATTTGGTTCCACCTATTTCGTGGTTGTATTTCTGGCAAATTGAACAGCTTCTCTGCTTGCTTCCTACAATTGATGGCTCTCTCTCGAGCATTCTCAAATCCGTACTGACTTATTGGAAAATAATGCTTATGATATTTCCCATCAATTTTCCAATGCGCAATCCATCTTTGTCTATTCTTATCAAAACATACACCACCTACTCTGGTTATTTGGGATACCTTATTCAGGACTTCTTTCTTTTCATCGTCCAGATTTTTATTGCTCTTTTCCATCTTCACTTTATTCCTTTTTTTGTTAATCTTTTTCTGCACCCCGGTGTCCAAATGTTTGTGATCGCCATCTAGGTTGTTCCTCTTAAGAGACAAAAAGTTCGGTTCGTATGCTTCGTTCATTTCGTCTTTCACGTTTATTCCCTCCCCATGGTATACCAAGTCGTTCGCATTGTACAACATTTCATCCTTCATTTTAGTACTATCATTCAGAGAGTTGTTAGAAATCTGCTCTTCATTGGTGCTACACGAATCTCTTTTACAAGCATTTATTACACGAACCCTGTTATTATCCATGTAGTTTTCCATATAACTACGAATATTATTATACACATTATCACTATTACTATGTTCGTGATCTAAGTTGTTTCCTCCTCCAATATTATCGTACAGCACTGCGCCATCATCCCCATTAACACGTTTCCCATTGTGAAGGTGCATATTTGTCAGCGTTAGACCCTCTTCATTGTTTAAGTACAAATTATTATTCTCTTCATAACACCCGTTGTTACTATTGTTCGCACTAGTGTTGCAACTATTTTCGAAATAATTTGTGCTTATTTCACTTTTGTTAGTAATATTCGTGTACTTACTGGAATTTAAAAGATCCCCAGTTAAACTCTTCTTCGCTTCCATATCCATACAGGCGTACTTATCCACAAACTTGTAGTTATCGGTGCTATTGTGTTCATTATTACTGTTGTACTCCTCGTTTTCGTTGGTCTCCTCATTCTCATGACTGTCATCGTTCTCATTACTATCATCATTCTCATTGCAATCATCGTTGTCATCATTATCGTCGCTGCCGTTGTTATTATTTCCTCCATTGTTGTTATTTCCCCCATTATTACCGCCACTGTTGTTGTCTCCGTTGTTGCTACTTCCATTGTTACTGCTTCCATTATTGCTGCTGCTATTATTATAACAGTTATGGTTGTAGTCTCCGTTGTTATCGCTATTGCTGTTGTAATCGTTGCTGTTGTACCCATTGGAATTGTAACCGTTGTGATTATACTCGTTGTGGCTATACCCACGCGAATTATCATTGTTGTCTCTGTTTTCCCCGCTTCCAAAAAACTCCTGCTCGCATCCTTCCATCGAGGCATACTCACCTCCAATTATGTCCCCCGCAGAAAAGGTAAAATCCCTTCTCTGGTAAAAAAAATAGTTGGCAAACAGCTTTTCCAATATGTCTTCCCCTTTATTACTATCCTTCTCATCCTCACCTGGGACACTCATTAATGGGAAATGTGTGTTCTCTCCCTCCATGTGACAAGCTGACACTTCTTTACGATCTTTTCTTCCGGGACGCTCGCCCACACTATGAACATCAAGCAAGAATGGTAATCTTCTCTCTAACCCGCACGGATAACTGTATATTACTTTATACTCGCGTCTGCACATGTGCAACAGAAGGCACGTCAAAACAAATCTCCTTTTTTCTCCGCTTAGGGACAACATGGGTACACATTGCTTGAAATTTCCGCCCATGGGATTCGTTAAAAATGGTACAGCGCACCCATAATTCCTTGAAACATTATTTGTTATAGAGCTGGGTAGTATTGGCGTCTTCTCGCAATTTGTGTTGCTCTTCACAATGACATTGTCCTGTCCTTTACCTCCTTCACTATTTCTTTTTCTCAAATGGGATAATGCCGAATGATTACCATTGAACGCGTTTGCTTGTTCAACAATACGCATTTCAGCTGTACGGTCGTCATCATTCTCAGTTAACATTCCTAAACGTATCACCTCCTCTCTCATTAGTGGGCGGGCAAAATCAGGCACATTATCATTCTTCATAATTTTACCAAAATCCTTATTCGAATTGTTCTCTGTTTGAAATACTCCAATGGGTGATTCATCAAAAGGGGCCTCCTCCCCTCTTGGACAACTATCACGATGCAGATTTGTCGTAAAAAATGGTGAATCAGTTTCAACTTTCTTTCTTTGCATGCCCTTTCTTATTAAATCTTCGTACTCGCTCAATTTGAGAACGAAACTTTTGCTTTTTTCGAATCCATACTTTTCCACGGGGAATATGCTTATTATCATCTTCTGGCTTAACTCATCAAACATAACAAAAAGATATGATCTGAACTGATCTACGTAATAGCAGCCAGGGTAACAATCAGCCATTTTCACTCCTTGCATGGGTCCACAAGGAAAATTCCCATTCTCTATCTGATCATTTGACACCTGTTCCGCTTGCTCCTTCGTACGCATTTCACCTTTTTCACTCAAACGTTCGTCACCGCTCAGTGAGTGGCTACTACAATTGCTATCATTTTGTTCAAGTGGGTGATGCACACATCCCATAGAAACACACTTTCCTAAAACTTCACTCTTATTACTTTCCTTGCATTTTCTGACACACACTTTCTTGGGAAACCTTTCCCCTAAACGTACCTCAACATCAGTTGCTTCCTTTTTATTTGCAACGAGTTCATCGCATGCACGGTCAGCCCTAACCAAAACAACGACCAAGGGCATAATCTCATAGCCCAGGTACACGTCCCCATCGATGACTAATGAATACTTCAAATTGCGTCTTCCATTTTTTAAATTACTCTCAGAATAACATTTGAAAAAGTAAAATAGAACCAACGGTATCGAAACTGTTTTGTACTCCTCCTTCTTAATATCTAGTAAGTTTACATTCTGCAAATATGAGTCCAGTTCTTTTCTTTCTTCTTCTCCTTCTTTCTCAAATTTTTTTAAGCTCCCCAACTCAGGCGCCTTCACAAATTGGTGCAGATTATTCTGTCTCAGCAATATCATCGTTGGCGGTCTTTTCCTTGTGCTTACAAGGTGTTAAGGTAGGGGTGTAAGCATGTACAAACGTATGCCAAAATGTGGGTACACGTATATCAAATATATAAATTTATATATATATATGTATATACATATAGATATAGATATGCTTATATATTCACACGTATGGACACGAGAGGATGTCCTCTGAAGCTGCAACACTTCAATAAAATTAATTACGATAAAGTGAAAGGCATAAAAACGATCTGTTATGCATTAAAATAAACTGAGGATTAATTAAAAGGCGATGTGAAAAAAAATGAATAAACGAACTGGTGAGTAAAAACAAAAATGCACAAATTAAACTTCATTAATGAGGCACTTTCAATTTATGGGAGCGCATCTGATCTCTCCCATTTGACACTTTTCTATTGGGGGATTAACTAAAGGAATCATAAATTAACTGTAAAAACCATCTTTGGCTGCTACTCTGTGTTCCTTTCTTCCTTTCTGGTTGGTGTACCAATGGCACGGGCTATCGTCACAACGGATGTTGTTGTGACACGGGCGCGCAAGAGTACGAAATGGGTACACGTGTTATGATTATACGAATGTACATATATTTATGTAAGTATATATATATACGTACGCACACACTCCTCACTTGCACAATGTTCTAGTGAGCCATTCTCAAATGCCCCTAAATATATTATCCACGGATTAGTAGCTTTTTTAAAAATAATAAGGAACACAACTGGGAGCACTCTCTGAGAGGTTGCTGCACGCAATAAAATGAAATGATAACACACGTCCGCGCGGGTTCCCACGCACATATATACGTAAGTGTGTATATGCACGGCTACATACACCTGTTCTCGGTCAAAACAGGCAAGTGTAGTATGCATCTATTTTACATATTACTGTATATGCGCAGCGGCCTAAGTGTGTGTTGGATTCGAGTGGACGCATAAATTAACATATAGGCAACCTATATATAAGGGGTTATATGCATAAGCAAAACGATCATATATATGTGTATACACATGAGCACACATATACACATACATACACATTAATGTACGTGCAAAGTTCGCATATGCACATATGCAGTTACGTGGATTTACTCCAAAAATACACGGCTACTCGTGTATAATGTTATTTGGGACCAACACGGAATTTGTGACAAGAAGGATTTAAAAGACAAAAAAAAAAAAAAAACAAAATAATAAATTAATAAAAAAACAAATTAATTTAGCATAAATAGGAACAATAAATAAAAAGGGTGGTAATGAATGCATAAATTAAAGAATAATTACGGGGAAAGGGGAGGAGATGTTACTAATCGGGAAAGGTATTTTCCGTTTTCTTCCTTCTCCTTTCTCATATGTAAATTATTACATATGTGGAAACACAGATAGGCACGCTTTCGATCTAACTGTTACGCAAATTTGACATGCACTGCTCGTATACAACCAAACGTCATAAAATGATACGCATATTTAATTAAAGCTCCTCGCGTAAAAGGTGAAGAAGATGAATAACACGATTTGCAGCAAATTGGGTTTTTTAAAACGGGTTGCAATGTGTGTGTACGTATGCAGCAATGATTTATGAAGGTGCTTGTGTAACGCGTAACCACGCAGGTGTACACCTAAGGACATGCTCGCTGGATTCATAAGCATGCACACACGAACTAACACAATGCAATACAAAGCAAAGCAGTACAATACACAAGCGTGCTTCCCCAAAGCAGATTGCTTATCAATACGTAAAGAAATATAAACACCAATGGAAATGTATACACGGTTAAAAAAATGCACTGCTATTTACAACTATCTCTTCGTCTATATATACGCATTCATAAATCTATGCTACACTTCTTTGTCTTCTTAAGTGTAATATGGCATTAATAACACGAAATATGAAATTTTCATAAAATTCCTTAAAAATAATTAAAAAAGAAATTGAAAAAATTAAAAAAGCTTGGCATAATAGGACAAGATTTTCTTTAATTCGTACATGAGAGAGGAGTACACATAATACATGAATGTATCAAAAATTTCTAAATACACTCAAATTATGAATAGGCAGATAACATTCAAAAAAGTTAACTTAAAAATATTTCAAAACAATTCAACTTAAATGGAAAATACGTAGGCATAATTGTACAAATGTGTACACATACTCACATATATTCGTGCTTACCAACGCATGAAAATGAGCTTACACATATGCAAGTTGTGTGTATGCATACTAGCATAATATCACACGCGTACACAAATGTATGATTAAGCAATTCGCACACGTGTACTGATAAGCAATCCACCTATGCTCCTTTAAAAAAAAATTTTAAGTCATGAATAGTCAGGTCTTAATTGTTTTATTCTCCTTTGTGGAGAACTTACATAAATAAGCTATGTAATTAAAAGCATAAAAAAAAAAAAAAAAAAAAAAAAGGTGAAATGGAAATGTTCATGTTTTAAAAGTAACATGAAGAACAAAATTTATGCCTTAAAGAACAGTTCAGTGAACGGTTCGCAGTGTAATTTGCGTGAAATTACATGGAATAAAAAGTGGATGAACACATAAAAACATAGCAGAACAATGAAAAACAAATTTTTCGTGAAAAATAAAAATATGTGCAAGTACTTAAAAGCGAATAAAAATGACCAAGAAGGGGGGATATACCATTTCAACGTACATTTAAGGGTGGATATACATGTATAAACTTAGAAATTTATCTTTCCCTTTTGGCCCTTTATGCTTTTATCAAAATGGTGAAAAAATTAATAAGTGTAAGTAATGCCACATACAGAAAAAAGTAGAAGTAAATGTACGTTCAAAAAGATGTTCAAAAGTTATGTTGAAAAAGTGTATACAAAAATGTAACAAAAATGTATGCAAAAATGTATAGATAACACAAGGAGATGTTTTCAGAAGCTTATTTTTCTACATGGGCATTCTTGTATGAGTGTTAACATCCTCACAACAGTTTTCATTCTTCCGTTCGAGTGAAAATTCACCTTTGTGTTTTTCTTTTTCCTTTCAAGAATGAAAATAATAATTTTTTCCTGTCATTCCACGTTCTACAAGTGATGACACAGCCTATATATGATCACAAGGATGAATTGCACAGCCATAAATGGGAACATGTATATACAAGTGCAATTGCAAAGGTGTGCTCGTAAATATACCACATTATGTGGGTATGTAACAAGTGCAAACTTCGTACATATATACGTGCACAGTATGTATGTATATATCCCCACGTGGTCGAACGTGTTACTACTTAAATGTATAAGCAAAAGGGTTACTTCTATTCGATGTATAAAGATGCACTAATTTTCAATCAACACGGTATGTTATATGTTACATGTATGCATAAAAACATAAAATTCACATATGTAATATTATGGATAATAAGAATAGAAAAAATGCATATACATTAAGTATACACAATATACATAATTTAACATGTACATTTTACATAAAAAATTAAGTGTACACGAACAATCAGCTGGTATAAAAAAAGGAAAGGGGGTGAAGAGCCCACGCCTCGTCGGCTATTTTTTCTGCACTTCAAAATTTTACGGAAATTTGTAAAAGCTCTATACAAAAATTTTAACACCCCCCAGAATGATCACAGTTACATATGTATATTTTTTGCTCTTTTTTTGATTTTTACATCAATATTTTATATAAAATAAACGAGCTTTTATTCTTTTTTGCAATAATTCACATTTCAAATATCAATAAAAAAAATTAATTTCTTCATAAAAAATGTAACAATTCATAAATACACAAAAAGGGATATAATCCAAAAAAAAAGAAAAAACATATTTGTTTCACTCTTTTTTCAAAGCGTAAATAAAGTTTAAGCGTTTTTCACATAATAATGTATATGCGTGTATACATTAATAATATATAGTGTAAATGCTAAAACAGGTGAAATCAAGTAAAATAAAAAAAAAAGGTGAAAAAAAATTTCTTGTTGTAAAAAAGTAACATTATAGGAAAAAACGGATTTTATAAAACACAATTACCTTTTTTTTTTTTTTTTTTCTTTTGTGTTCTTGGCTTGATGGATGTGAGAATGAAGTTGTTATTTGTGATTTCTTAACAGCAATAAAACAACGAGAGAAAAAAAAAAAAAAAAAAACAATTAAGGTGCTTGTTGTAACATGAATATAACAGTTCATTACAAGATCGCCAGTTAAAAAAAGAACCAAAAAAACAAAGTGCAAGAAGGAGGAACTAAGATGATAATTCCTTCTTCTGTTGTGCAGGTGTAACATGCAAAAATTGTAGTGGTGAAAAATGAAAAGAAAGAAAAAAAAAAAAAAAAAACCATTATGTGTATATTCATTTCTGTTTGTTCGTACAAGTTTAAGCGCTTGTCACTACGAAAAAGCGAAGTTTTTTTTTTTTTTTTTTTTTTTTTTCCTGGCAAACTCCTACATGAGATAATAATTAAACAAGTGTAAGTGTAAGTTACCGTACAATTCGTGAACGGGTTTCAAGTGTAAGATCAAACTTGGCGGGTGCTTGTGTTCGCAAGTGAAATATATACACATAAGTGTACGTACACTTGTGTATATAAATGGTAGCTCTCTTTATATATATATACCTTTGTTCATGTTTACACCTATGAGAGGTTACATTACACGCGCACATATGTTCCTATATTTACACCACATACTGCTGTAATTACAAATGCACATTTTGCAGAGTGTATTGTACTTTTTTAAACCCAACCTTTTGTACATTATTCACATTTTCTACAATCTGCACATTTTTCACAGTTCGAACAGAAGTAACTCCTAAGTTCCGCAACACAAGTTGTATAGAACAAAAAAACTGATTGTTGTACGCGGTTAATCTTTTTGTGCGCCTTTTGTTTTTTTTTTTTTTTAAACCACTGGTGAAAGCAAAAAATGGAAAAAGTAGAGAAAGTTACCTTAAAACCAAATAATTTTTTTTTTTTTAAAGTGTATAAAAATGCTTTTCCCAAATGTCACCCTGTGTGAGTTGCTGTGCCTTTTTTCACCCCTTACTTTTACGCTTCCCATTAGAAAAAAGAAAGGGAACATTTTTTACTTCACCATAGCAAAAATGTGAGTCCCTTTGTTCCCGTTTTGTTGTATTCGCTTCTTCCAGTGCCCCCACACGGCTACTGAATTGTACACACACCAACACCCCCCTGCGTGGTTCCACTCCCATTTCCATTCCCCTTTTACACCATTTATGAAAATCCGGTAATCTCTTCCAAGTATTATAACTGTGCGTGGTCCCAAATCTGAAGCCCATAACCAAGTTACACAAAAGGGATAATTTGTCAAAGCAAATTACTACACCTTACGGTTAAAAAAAAAAAAAAAAAAAAAAAAAAAAAGGAACATCTCTCAAATGTGTACTGCTGGATATTAAAGGGGCGTGTACGCAATAGCAGAGTGGCACTCGTCACGAGTTTTCTCTACATTTTTTCGCAAACATTTTTTTTTTTTTTCCATTATCGGAAATTCTCCTTGCCGTTAAGTTGTTGTAACAGGAAAATGTTTTTAAGGTACTTTTATTTGGATCTATTTTTTAAAAGCTTCGCATTGTCGCGCTCACAAGTGGTTCATAGTGTATGTTAAATAAACTGAATGAGTTAAAGTGATGAAAATTTTATGGACCATAACATGTCCCAATTGTGTTTAAAAAGAATCCTTGACAAAATGGAAGGGCTTTTGTCCTTTATACACAAAATTTCACTAGCACAACGTGCGCACACAAGGTTTTCTATTTTACACCTTACGTGACGCCATGTTTTTCTAAACACAACGGAAAAAAAAAAAAAAAAACTGCCGAATGCGTTGTTAGCAAACTTTCATAAATAAAAATATGTACTTGTATGTACATACACTTATATAACCAATGTCATACAAAACCGTAGTGATGAAAATGCACACCACACTCTAACCTATAAGAACATATACCAATTTTCAAATTAACACACACATGGGGATATGATGTAATAGCTACGAACGACAACAACCGCGCTTTTCAGCACTCCTCTGCTTGTGTCCTGTATGGCTTGCTTCCCCAAATTGAAGCTTCACATTAGTGCCGTTCATTGATCCGCTATACAATCCGCATTTACCGCGTTAAGTGTGTTCCAAAAAAAAAAAAAAAAAAAAAAAAAAAAAAAA